TCTCGGCGAGCTCGAGTTCGCTAGCTTGCCAGTGCCGGCGAGGGCCAGCTCGCCAGTGCCGGCATGGGCCAGCTCGCCAGTGCCGGCGAGGACCGAGCTCCCCATGGCCGGCGAGCTCGGCCCGCTCGCCAGTGCCGGCGAGGGCCAGCGAGCTCGACCCTCGCCGTCAGCCCATGCGATGCTAGCCCTCGCCGGCACCGGCGAGGGCCGAGGTCGCCATGGCCGACGAGCTAGAGCTCGCCGGCCATGGCGAGGCTAGCCCATCTTAGCGTCGGCGAGGGCCGAGCCGCTGGACCTCGCCTCATGGCCGGCGATGTCTCCAGCGACTGGCCAAACCAGAAAGGAAGAGAAAAAAAAATTTCAATAACACCAAAAAATACAAATCCAATGATGAAATTAGCCACGGCACTTACCAGCGGAAAAGCTTTACCGAGATTGATTTGCGCGTGCGCAGATAGGTAAATCGAGAGAAACGAAAGAGAGAGGGAGAAAGAACATTGATGGGGATATGAGGAATCAGTGGGGATGGATATCATAAAAATTATTGTCCGTGTCGAAAGTTCGGTAGCGACAAATTTTTTCAATTCGTCGCAGTAAAAATTCGTCGGAAATTTGCAACGAAAAATTTTTCGTTGCAAATTTCCGACGAATTTTGCGACTAGAAATTTTTCATTGCAAAATTCCGACGAATTTTGCGACGAAGAATTTTTCGTCGGAAATTTCCGACTAATTTTACGACGAAGAAGTTTTCGTCGGAAATTTCCGACGAATTTTACTAACGAATAATTATTCGTCGGAAATTTCCGACGAATTTTGCGATGAAGAATTTTTCGTCGGAAATTTCCGACGAATTTTCCGACGAATAACTTTTCGTCGGAAATTTGCGACGAAAATTTGCGACAAATAACTTTTCGTCGGAAATTTCCGACGAATTTAGTTTTCGTCGTAAAAGTCGTTGGTAATTTCCGACGAAAAATTTTTCGTCGCAAAATCCTTGTTTTTTTGTAGTGAATCCAATTGAGTCATTTTTAGTCATTTTTAGGCCATAGTGTCTTCATAACAATTGATTCAGGGACCTTGAATTACATACTGGTCAATCCAATTTCATAATTTAACAAAATAATTAAAAAGCCCCAAAAATCAATTGAAAATTACGGATTTTAAGACCTAAATTGGGATCTTGTACAATTTGAAATTGTCGAACAAGGACAACACTTTCCCTAGGGTTAATAAGCCATGGGTAATTCAATTTTGGCATCGATTTTTCCCAATCAGGTCATCTAGCTATTGAATTGAACAAAAGCCCTATGAATCCGATTTCAATTTTGGGAATTTTTGGGCCTAATTGTGATAAAAATTGGTACAAATCTTATATCTGGGTACAAAATGTGCTAAGGAATCCAATTTTGGGGTTAAATTTGAAAAATTAAATCAAAATTGGGTTGAATTTACAAAATTAAACCAAACTGGGTCTGCCGGGTTGGTCAGATCGACCCAACCCGACCCGACCGAGAATGGTCTTCCTCTCCACCTGCCCAAACTTGTACGCCTGGAAAAGAGAAAAAACAGGTTCAGCCCCGCTCTTTTAACTGAACTTTTGAAGCTATTCCGGCACGTGTTAAACGGAATGGACGGCTGGAGAATCTCCAGCTATCCATCCTTATCATCTCTAACCGATTTCGAGACGGTTATGGCTGATAACCGCCTCAGGGACGAGTAAAAAAGTGCGGGAAAGTCATGATCCAAGTAGACCACTTGTTCGAGAAAGCACCAGAGAGAGAGAGAGAGAGAGAGAGAGAGAGAGAGAAGAATTGAGAGCGAGAAAGAGAGAGATTGAGCGAGCAGTTGAGTTGAAACTCTCTAAGACCGAGCGATCGGCGCTTTTCCGATCAGAAAAGCACTGGCCAATCGATTCCGAAGGTGAGTTACCTCATCAGAAAACCTGTAACGAAGCTGATTGCTGAGGTTTGAAAACGAGTCTTCAACCAGGCAATCTAGGACTTGCCCGACGAAATGGTGATCGTGAAGTTGAAGTACAAGTTCCCTAGTTTCATCTTCAAGCCTTCATCTGGCTTGGGAACTCCATTTGATCTCCATTAAAGTAGGTAAAGTTGGCTTTTAGTCACAGTTTTCACAGGATTCCAAAATAAGTGTTTGAGTTTAATCCTCTTGATCATATGATTTCCTTTGCAATTATGAGCCTGTTGATGTCTAAGATGAGCTTATGATCACGTTTTTATTATTTGATTGCATTTTAAACCATTGGAATTGCATTAAACCGAGTTGGCCGTCCATGGAAACCCACGCCGAAGTTCCCGAACCTCGTCGGAGTGCCTCCTATGGTCATAGGCCACTCAAGTTAGTAGTTTTTAACATTGCTTGATATTTTGATGATGATTTTGATCAATTTAGACGGCTAGGGCGATTAGTATAGTGATTTGAACACTTGAGAGGCCAAATTGATCAGTTTTTAGGTTAGGTTTTTTAGATCGGTTTTTCGTCAGCCGGTGGTGGTCCGGCGGCAAATCAGTGAGCTAGGTTGATGGAGGGAAACATGGATTCAACATTAAACCAAATGGAATGGTTAAAATCTCGTCGAAAGGTCATCAGAGGTGAGTTTGAACCAGAAGCCTCGATAGTACTTGAACCAGAAATCATGCCCACCAACTGCTCGGCAAAATGCTAAAATAAAGAATGAGTGAAATGGCGTTGTGCCCACCGAGGCGATGGCCGTCACCGGTGCCGACCGGTTGGACTTGGTTGGACCGGTCTGAACCGGTTCAACCCGTTTCAATCGCTAGCGGAAAAATTTAAAAATAATAAATAAATATAAATACTAAAAAAATCCGAAAATCAAATAAAAAATCTAGAAAATCGTAAAAAATAAAAAATTTCAGAAAAATCCAGAAATCATAAAAAAAATTTAATTAGAAAATTTTTGGGAAAATCAGAAAATTCACAAAAATCAGAAAATTTCCGAAAATCCATAAAAGTCTGAAAAATTCTCAGAAAATCCATAAAAAGTTGAAAAATCCCAAAATCCACAAAAATTGAATTTTTTTTCAGAAAATGTAAAATAAAAAAAAAGATTTCGGGAAAGTAAAAATTCTCAGAAAAAAATTTTCCCAAAAAAAATCAAAAATCAAAAATTTCAAAAATTCATAAAATGACCCAAAAACCCTATGGCCACCCTTTACAAGTGAAATTTGAATTTTCTGAGGTGTCTAAATGGCATTTTTGAAGACCCTTTAGTTTGGGAGTTAAAAGGGGACTAAACCCCCAAAAAAACTCTAAAACAACACAATTCATTGAACAAACAAGCCATTAGAGCTTCATTAGGCATTGAATGTTTTGAATTGTCTTCCTTTTAAAGACATTTTAGGATTGTCTTGATTGATTGATATTGATTGTGCAATTACTGATTGATTGATTTTCTTCTATTAGAACGGTTAGAGTTAGTAGGTAGATCTCGAAAACTCATGTGACATGTTAGGCACATTATATCGTTTTAGGTACCGAAAGGGCATTAGTGATTACAATTTGGGATCATTAACGTAATCAAGTCCTCTTACTCAGAATTTCTGGTTTCACAGAATCATGGTATTTCTCCCGTACCTTGATTAGGTTTCTAGTCAACCTATCAATAATGAGTAGTGGCGACTCCAAATTAAAATCCAAACTAAATAGAAAGATAAAAAAGCTATAACCCGCTGTCACGTGAAGTATGGTATGAGAGACACCCTCGTTTGTCTAGTAATGGGATGTCCGTGAAACGTTTGAGAAAAATATCTGTTTCGGACCTTAGTAGCTCATTCGGGGACAGTTTCCTCATTCGTGACAAATTAAAGTACCTCACACTGTATATAATTCTTTTGTTAGCTTTTGTTTTTAGGAAATTGAAAAGACCGAAGTTTCTATGCCTCTTGAAAACTTCTTTTACCAAAACTGCTTGGGCAATAATCAATCGGCTATCGTTACAGGATGTTTTCTCTTTGCCCTCCCGTCTAGTCCGTATGGTCGATCGAAGTCCTCCGACGCACCTGAAGGCCTACAGACGTGATTTCTTAACATCAAATTCCTTGAGAACTAAAAACATGCTGATTATGTGTTTATATGGTTTGGTTTCTCTAGTTGTCTCATTTGACCGATTCATGACCCTTGCAAGCTATTTCAATGTAATGACACAATGAAATTTACCCAAAGAAGAAAGCATATTGCTGAGTTACAATGCACCGGAGTGAACGTGTTCACAGGTCTACTGAATCTCATAAGATATGTATGAGTACATGTGAGTTCATAATTCATATGCTTGTGCTAGAACCTGATAAATTACATTTGGACTTGTAGTTTTTGAGTATGCTATGATCATTCATCAAATTAAACCCTCAGAACATAGCCAACTTTTTACAAGATTTTTTGTTATTGAATAGGGACAGATAGACGCTCTTGTGAAGTTCAATCAAATTTCATTTGTCCCTGGAATGCATAGCCATTCTGGAGAGATCCTATCCATAAGGAATTCAATCCTTCCGTCGCCTGCAGACTTGTTATTTGCTTGACTAATTCTTTGATGTGACATTATGAGGGTGATGATCATGTACATGCAGAATTCGCCGCGTACTTGGCCTCATGTGAGTAAAATACAAGAAAGAGATGTGTACGCGCACGTGTGGTTGAGTGGCCATCGGCACCGACCTGAACCTTCACTGGAGCACAGGAGAGGATCATGCAACCCAGTAAAAATCTCGATAACGTTTTCGCAAGCGAAATTCAACCATAGTCTCCTCTCTATTTTGGAGTACAATCATACAAAGTGAAATAAACGGGATAAAGAGAGACGTATCTTTGAGACTGTAAGATGGGACTACAGCAAAACCAAAACTTTAAGCCCCAGCTATTAGAGCAAAAAGGAGCACGGTGCGAGATAAAGAATGCAAGTGAAATGCAGAGATTGGCACTTTCATGGCACTGAGCAACTCGTGCTCCTCTCTCTCTCTCTCTTATCTCCGGCACTTCGCGATCCTGGAGCAGCTCCGGCTGTACGGATGGACTGGCCCCTGTGCCCTGTCGCAGTTGTGGGTGTAGTACGACCGCCCCGAGCGTGGCGGGCAAGGGATCCTGTTTGCGGACAGAGCTCCGTACGATATGTAGCTGCCGCACTGCAGCAGGATCCTCCGGGCAACCGCCTCGCGTCCGATGAGCTCGTTGTATGGCGGCAAGGCTTCGAGCGGCCACCCGAGAGCTTCGGCCGATCCAATCTGGAAGCCGAGTGAATAGTTGACCTGGCCTGTGGTCGCGGGAAGCAGAACTGCGATGTTAGAGAAGGAGAGCAGAGCGATCAGAAGGGGAGATGCCATGGCGGATAAGCGAAAGAGAGAGAGAGAGAGAGAGAGAGAGAGAGAGAGAGAGAGAGATTTGTAAAGTGTAGAGAGGGGGATTTGAATGGAGTTTGAGGCAGGCTGGCTGAGTTAACGCTGGTCATCCTCTCCATGTGATCTTACACATGGGGGTTGTGCGCCGATTTTAATGTCGGACGGTGGAGGAATCACACGTTCACGTGTTTGGGAAGACAGAATCCATGGTGGTCGGCGGCAATGCAGGAGCAGGCCAAATTTTCTTTTTACAAAAAATAGTACTAACCATCAGTCTCACTTTTCTCTCCATTTCCATTTTCCTCCTCCCTTCGTGGTAATCACTTCGCGAACGAAAGAAAAAACTAAACCGCCCTCCCTTCGTGGTAATCACTTCCTCGGCACCGAGATCGATTAAAATAAAGGAGTCTTCATCTAGCAGACTAATATGTGGAGAATCTCCTGAAGAAATTAAAGATGAATCATTGCAAAATAGTTGTGATACCCCTTGTGACAGATGAGAAGTTACTAAAAGAAGATGGGGCAGAGAAACCTAATATTTCCTTCTACAGAAGATGGACCAGATATTGTGAACGCAACAAGTCTACTATCACGCTTCGTACAGAGCTCAAGACAAATCCATTTTAGAGCTAACAAAAGAATTCTCGGATATTTACGAGGAACAACAAATTATGACATTTGTGTTGACACCTAAATTTTGCTCAATCATTTAGAGTTTTATCGCATAAAAAATTAGGGATTGATTTTTAACCCCTAAACAAAAATATTTTCATTAAATTACATGGCATATAGATGTTAAGTGCATTTGCATTAGTAGAATTTAGTGAAACATATTTTCATTTTATTTTATTTCATTTTTATTGTATGTAAAAAAAATCATTATAAAAATTTCAAAAAAACCAAAAAAAGGGAAAAAGAGAGAAGACAAAAACGTGATCTCTTCCCTCTCCATCTGGGCTCTCTCTCTGCACACTTACACAAAAGAAGAAAAAGTAGAAAACGACAGAGGCTTTCTTCTTTCTTTGACTGACATGACGAAGTGCTCTCTTTGACCGTGGAGTCCATTCACCAAAGGGGGGGTTCTGCGCATTCAAAGGAGGCCAGAGGAAGCACACAAAAGAGGGGGAGAGTTCCGGGAGAAAAAAGGGAAGAGGGTGAAGATTCAAAAGGAGCAGAGAGAATAGTTTTGAGGGGTGAGTGACCGAGAAACACGAAAAAAAAAAACAGAGACGGGGAGGAGAGAAAAGGGAGAAAGAGCTCGGCTTGATAGAGGGGTCTTTCTTCAACGAGAGCGTTCCGGTCCCTTCCCCGTGACCGGCAAATCTCGTCCCCCTCTCAGTCGCTCACCCGTCACCTTGAATCATCCACTTAAACGAACGCCTCTATTTGAGAGCGTCCGTTTCGGTATCAAATCATCGAAGAAATCGCGCTTAGTTGCAGCAAACGAGCAGAGTCAGCTGCGCATCTCGTCACCATCGTTGATTCCGTGCTGTTCACGATCAGGTGAGACTCGCGCCTCCCCTGTTTTTCCCTTGCCTCTCGGATGCCGGGCACATCGAGCCTATTTCGATGGTCGCCCGGCCCCCATTGATGGATACTCGTGCTCGTTTGATACTCAAAGAAGCCGTTTTAAACGTTTCACACCAAGAACAGGCCATGAGTTTTGCTAAAATCGGATCTGTAATCCCATTCCTCGGTTGTACCTCACATGTTTGATAAAGTGTCTCAGTGAAACAGTTTAAGCTTGGAGTGTCAAATCTGATCGTGTTGATTTTTTTTAAAGTCTTTTTGTAAAATGAAATAGCTCTTTGGTGCAATATGGTTGTTTAGAACTTTACGTATCACATTTGAGCCAAAAACCACGCTCACGACCAGTCTTAAGCCTTTATCCGAACTCGCCTACCACTTGTTTGATAAAATGTCTGAATGAAGGCCGAGACCAATATCACCAAGATCCGTCTATGTAATCTTCATTTTATGCTTCGTCCGAGCTTAGATTGATATTTCATGCCTGCTCTGGTGTTTTTCTTGTGTTTTTATGCCACTGTTCGTGCATCGTCCAAGTTGGTCTCACATACGCATCCTCCCGTCGGAGAGATTTTCCCGCACCGACGAAGCCCACGGCTCGAGGCCGCCTTAGCCAGCGTGTTCCTCCTCATCTTTAATATGCATGTGTTGGTTTTTGGCTGTTTATTTTGTTGAAGCAGTGTTTGAGTTGATATGTCTCTTCGGTGATAACGGTGTCGCCGGAATCGCTTGGTGATAGTCGGGTAGTGGCCGTCGGCGGTGGCGCGACGACCGACGAGGGGTGGCCGTCGACGTTGGAAGTCGACGGCTGGCGGTGGTGTTCGGTGGCCGGAGGTGAAACTCCGGGTGTAAGAGGGAAGCTCTCGGGGAAAGGGGGTTCTGGGAAAGAAAAGAACGTGCATGGGCAAAAGCACGTAGGGGAGGAGAGTAATAAAAAAATAGAAAAAAAATTAGAAAAAGAAGAGAAACACAAAATGGAAAAGAGAAAAAGAAACCCAAAAAAGAAAAGAAAAAAAAGAAAAGAGGGAAATAAAAAAAAATTCAGAAAGGAAATGGAAAAAGGGGGGATCCCGGGCGGGTCGAAATCCGGGTCATAAAGTCGGGTCGGATCGGGTCAGGGGACCCGGTCCAGAATCTTTATTTTATTAATAAAAATATTTAAAAATTCAAAAAAAATCAGAAAATGTTTAAAAATCCAAAAAAAAATATTAAAAGTCTGAAAAATATTTAAAAATTCAGAAAATTTCAAAAAAATTTAAAAAAATTTAAAAAATCCGAAAAAATTTAAAAAAAATTCAGAAAAATCCCAAAATTTTCATAAAATCAGAAAATGCTCAGAAATCAGTTTTTAGCTTAATTTCGCTAGATATTAGTATTTATTTCATTCTAGACTTGGTTTGAAATTTGTAAAAATTGAGAAAACCCTTTAAAAATTTTCCAAAAATCGGACAAGCCATCAGGGCTTTACTTTAAGGCTTTTGATTGCCTTTTCCTTTCTAGAGACGATGCTATGTCGCTAGTTGTTTATTTTATTTTATTTTTTATTATGATTATCTGGTTGCGCACTTTTAATACATTGATTGTTATCTTCAATTTTTCGAACGGTTAGGTGGAATCTTAGCTTTTTCGATAGGCTGCCCGGTACTTTAGTTTGCAAATATTCAAGTTTAGGTACCGAAATGGCACTAGTTAGATCGCTAGTGTAATCAAGTCCCCGAATTTTGGAATCTCTGGTTTTCGCACGTGTCGAGACGACACTCCCGCGTCTCGATCAAGGTTTCTAGCCAACCTCTGATCATGGCTAGTGGCGACTCCAATTGAATGCATAGTTTAAATAATTCTCGTCGCATAAGGTATGAGGCTTGGGAGCGCCTCGGTCCTTGGATTAATGAACCATTTGGTTCGTCTTTCAAACGAATCAATCGATGTTGATATCCATCGACAAATACCTCTTGGCCTAACCGATCGGTTCGGGGAGGTCGCGACAATTTGGTATCGGTCAATTGCAACTGCCAAACTTCTTGATTACACCGACAGTGACTGGGCAAGCTCAAATGACAATAGGAGGAGCATTACTGGTTATGCATTCACAATGGGTTCTGCAATGTTCTCGTGGACATCCAAGAAACAACACTCAATAGCACAGTGTACCATAGAAGCCAAGTATGTTGTGGCTACTACGATCACCAGTCCGAAATTCTGGCTTCGAATACTAGAAGACATCGAAGAAGCACAGATAGAACCTACTCCGATATTTTGAGACAACAAATCCAACATCACTATTTCTAATATCTTGTTTTTTCACGGAAGAACTAAAAATATCGCCATCAAATATCACTTCATAAGAGAAGTACAAAGTAATGGAGAGACCGAACTCAAATATTGTAAAACTGAAGATCAAGTTGTGGACATATGCACTAAAGTGCTTGTTGTAAGATCGGCGACACGGCGGAAGCGGATCGTAACTTTGCAATTAAATCGGGAGCCGTAGAAATGATAGAGAAATAAAACGAGGAACAATAAAAAGGACAAGAAAAATTTACGTGATTTAGTCCGAATGTCGGAACCTACGTCCACGGAAAGAACCGATAAATAATTCACTAATAAATCGAAAAATTTCAGGATTATAATCACTCACGCTCAAGTGTTTCCCAGCCATATATATATACCCAATGCCCACATTGTTTAACAACTCAACTTGATGGACTCGACTTTTACGTACAAATCTCGCGCAGTTCAAGCCTCTCACTCTTTGGAGCTTTCTCTCGTCTCTCGGCTATTTCTCCCTCGAGCTTACGTCAGTTCGTCCGCGGTTCTCCTCTTATAGGAGAACGAATGGCCCCCATCTTCAGAAGTCCATGCAATTAATGATGGTGTGTACGCATGACCATCAAGCACCGCCAATGAGAAAATGAGCATAGCTTCTGCCTTCTTTCTTCCTTCATTGAATAACAAAAGGACAAATGAAGCCCACAGAAATTGACCAGAAGGGAGGAAGAGAAGTTCGATGCCCAGACGTTCTTCTACGTGCATTCATTCACATCATGTGCATGCATTTATGAGGAAGAAGAAAATGGGACGCAGCTCCATTGACATGCATGAGAGCAAAGTCAAGTCATGGGCTCATTTAATTAATAAAAGACAAATATGGCCAAAAATTCTTTTATGCGCAGAGAATATCCAGAATTGCTTCTTCCTCTTTGTCTGCTCATCATTGCGTTTTGTACGACTTTGAACAATAAATTCTCCACGTGTGCGTAGGGTCTAGTATACAGACTCAAATTCGAAACATAATTTAATAATTATCCATATTAGCTCGATATTTGTAGCCAAATCATAATGCTCATTATTCATGTCGGCTCTCCCAACGCCCGACGAGCACTTACTTTCTACAGACGCCAATCGAGCTCAAACAGAGCTCGAGCTTTACTAAAGGAACGGGCTTCGTCATCATGTCT